AAGATTTTATGACAATAAAAGGTTAGCTAAGGGAAAAGACAGTGAGGGAAACCTAAACTATACCGATGTGTCCAAATTCCATACAAAACAATAAGCAGGTTTCGAGATGAGTAGTTTACGTATATTCAAATAGAAAAAGTCAGAAAGTTGTGCACCGACCATGGACCTGGGTTTTTCATAGAAAAGTTTGATGGCACAATAAAGTGGATATCTTCATGATGCACAAGAATTGAAATGGCAGTGAAATGATAGACTTTAAATACAAAGCCCAAACGTTTAGGAGCCGCTCACAGGTGCAAAAGAATTTATTAAAAGCAAAAAAAATAAATAGAAGTTTCTCTGAGTGAAATTAACTGACTTTGGCATTTCAAAATAAAAGGCTGATTAATGTCAGCTAACTCACATATTCCTTTATTTTCTAGTACCACACAATAGCACATTAGTTGTGCCTGAATTCCACATTATGTGCTATATTGTATTAATCATACTATTCCTTATTTGCAGTATACTTAAACAAAATCCATTCAATGTATTACAGGTAAGGCAAATTTACTTGTAGAGTGTAAAAACACAAATAGTTAAATATTCAGTAGCTTGCAAGAAATGAATGTACTACGTCTCTATGTTGGACAGAACATGAAACACGTGTGCCGTCAGTCTTGAATCAAACTGTGACAATCATATCACAGCTTTAAACTTAATTCACAGTTGGATGTTCCAGCATCTGTTTTGTGATCATTTCTTTTGTGTGCATCGTGTTGGTCAATATGAGTTTACATCAACAGCCCCTCAGAAGTGAAGGACTTTAGTAAACAGGTTTCCTGTGATCACATTGAAAACCTATTCAGAAATAGTGTACAGAAGGAAATCTGGACAAAGCCATTGCATTACAAACATACCATGACTCTGAATATATACTGCATGCTCTGTGCAGTTAGTGTGTGCACCAGAATTGGCACACAGCATGTGTCTTTTATCCACACATGTGCTCTGCAGTGTACTATATTTTCCCCCTGCTACTGCCTCTCAGTTTAAAAGACTTAAGCTGCCCTGAAACCAGCCGCAGCCTCTGCCAACATCCTGGCACGCTGCCCCGGGCCCCTCGCTGCGCATGTGACCCTGCTGGCACCATCGATTCCAGGGATCCTGACAAATGTTGGCACCTTCTCCTTGTCCAACAGGGGGTTGTGTGTGTGGCGGGGCGGAGCAGATCTGGCAGATCCGTGGCAGCCAACACCTGGTTTGCTGTTTTTAGGTATCATTAATACATCTCTGGACTTACAGGACATTACTTAAACATTCAATCAAGGGATTTGGATACTTGGGAGGATTTGTCATTGGATTCTTTTGAAGTGAGCCTGTAATGATCCAGAAAAAAAAAAAAAGTTAACCGGAACCTGGTGAGAAAGACGGGCAGCGGTTTCATGGCAGCTGATTCAATATGTCTACATTTCTGGCTGTTTTTGGACCAGACTGATTAAATTGCATAGGAAATATTTGCACTCTGAGCCAACTGCCGTCGAGACAGACTTGAATAATACATTGAGCTTTGCTACATGATACGGGAGCTTCAGATTGGCCCATCTAATAGCAGCTCTTGGTCTTTACTGGAGGACATTATGCAGAACGCTCTGCCGTGCGTCCATCTCTCAGCCCTTGTGTTGTTGAGAGAGGGCAGGTTTCCCATCATCCTTTGGGTGAAGAAGGATGGGCTGGAAGGGGTCGTAGGGAGAGGACGCTTTGCATTAATGAAGCTAATTTATCTGGAAATCAAAATGGGGGTGGGCCTGTGAGGTGGGTAGGTGCTTTTTACATGTCCCATCAAAATTCCACTAAACTGTCCTCTCCTTCATTAGAGTCCCACAGGGTCACCTTGGTACAGGTGTGAACATTTGTGTGTTGTGTCTTTTACCGTCTCTCTGTAACTGGTGTTTATCTTCTTTTCGTTGCCTTTATCTTTCATTTTAAAATGATTTTGATGGAAACAGAATCAGACAACATTGTTTTCTTGTTTTTTTATAGGGAATATCGAGTACAGCTGTCCGGCCACAAACGAATGTGAGATAACCAAAAGGAGACGCAAATCATGTCAGGCCTGCCGCTTCATGAAATGTCTTAAAGTTGGAATGTTGAAAGAAGGTGAGTCCTCTATTTTCTATTTTATTATGATTTTTGTTCAGCGTGTTTTTCTTATTATCTACTTTCACTTCCTGTGAGATCCCCCTCTGGAACAATTTAGCAGTGAGATGTTAAACAGAAAATGAATCAGTGACAAATATTTGCATTTGTCTGGGAAACTGAGCGTCTTTTTGTAGATTAGAATTAAGTGATGAAAAAGATGCTGCAGCCCTGGTGAGATTTTAAACAGAGCTCATTGGCCTGAACAATTCAATAATCATAAAAGCAGCATTGAAAAGAAAATTAATTGTTGTTGTGAGGATAAAATCAGACTGTCATTCTTCTAAGTTCCGCTTTTTATCAAAAAGTATCAAACTTTTATACAGAGAATTGTTTTTTTCTGATGAGTCAGTCTAATGCAATAATACAATAGTTTAATAATATAATCAAAAACTTTGGGCCTCATCTTACACTTGATGCAAAGCCCTGCAAAGTGCAACACAAGTGACTTTGTGAGTTTCAGACTGACACTTTTGTCGTTTCCCATCCAGCGCACATTGTTTGAATAGCAAATGCACTTGAACCCTTGTGAGCACCCATGGGTGTGTTGGTCCTAAAATGAAGTGTGGACAGGTACATTGATATTTTGAAGCAGTGGAAAGCAATTGCACATTTGACCCACAAAAACCTGCAGTGAAGTCAGTGTTATTTCAAGGGTATTTTATCATGCTAGTAAAATGCATCTACATAGGCTTGTGCATGACGCACTGAGCTGATCTGTTTGTGTGCAAACTGAAACCATTTCCTCTGCAGGAAAGCCTCACATAATGATAATAGTAATAATAATAGGTGCAGGCGCCCCCGACTTTTAAAACGACTGGGAGACAGAAATCTGATTAGTTTGTTGCGTGTTTTGTCAAAAACACACTCATTAATAATCAGGAGTCGGTACATCTCTTCTGAAACCATGCATCTGGTGCAGCGACCTTTTTCCCACTATTAAACTCGCACATGTAGACACACCCTGGATTCTCTGTAGACCACATACTTAAATCATTAAAATAGAGGGCTCTATCTTTTATCTCTCAGACTGTGAGGGTTAAATAACTGGTCAGCGATCAGATATTAAAGCCAGCTGTTGCCTCAGGGAGACACCGGTGACATCACCCACATGCCTCGCTGACCTCCCCTCACACCCCAGAGCCGCTCACTGTTCAACTCAGGCGCGTGGAAAAAAAGCTGCTGAGTTGGATGTTCCTACCAAGAGCGAGAGGGATGTGTAACAGTACTCTTCAAAAGCACAAGCTGTTCCCCCAAGACTACGCTCTCCCATGGGCTCTGGGTGGCTCTCTCCCTCACCCTCGCTGTCTGTCTCCCTTCCCCTCACTTTGCCAGGCATATTGATCCGCTTAATGCTTTCCGAACGTCCCACCTCACTTCCTGTATGTGTTGTTTCTCCAGCATTGAGAGAGGTTTGGGAATGCGGGGAGGGTAAAATCCTGCCAAAAGATTAATTTTTTTTAATTTGTTATGCTTTTTGTAAATAGTTTAAACACATTCAGTGCTCTATTCTATCTTTATGGAGACCAAAATTACCTTATGAAGTAAAACAATGACATTTTTTTAGTGACATCTCTGTGTCACCAAAATAAAATGTCTACAAATACATACGAATAAATGATCCGTAAAACTGTCAAAAATAAGCCCAACACACTGTCAACAACAGTAAATTAAAAAAAGAAATATAGCTATTTAATTAAATTACTAATGTGCATAGTAATATGTACATGGAGTTTTTAAGTTTGTTTTTGTTTTGGTTTCATGCATGAATATTTCAATGAACACTGTGTAATCACAGTAGTATTATGTGTCACCTATTTGCTGAACTACATACATAAGTATTTCACTGCCACATTTTTTTTACTCGAGTTTCAGTTACTCAGAGTCGAGCCTCTCTGGAGTAAAGAGGCTGTAGGAGGCGCATGCATTCCTGCTGATATCAACACGGTGTTAGTTATTGAAGTCAGAGTTAGGGTCAGACTAACTCATGCACAGTTTATTTGGCATCAACCCGGTCAACAGTTGGAGTTGCAGCGGTGGATGTTGAGGCAGTTAAGGTGCTTTGAAACTATTTGTGCTCCATATTTGTGCAGTTAGGACCATAACTCAGTCGAATAAGAACGCACAGACATTTTTAGATTAATTGTGACTTGCACTTTCTGAACTATCCCAGATTTCCATTGTTAAAAAAGGTCCACTTAGAAATCATTGACAAAAATGTGTCTTTATAACTGCAGAGCTGGCCAGAGAACCGTTGTGTTTTTTAAAAGTTGTCTTCAGTTTCAAGTAATCCAGTAATAGTTAGTCTGTCTACTTATAGCTGCTAATAGCTAATTCAGCTCCATCTAAGCTATTTTTAGACATTCAGTCTGCAGCCCTAAGATCCTGCTGCGTTCTTCATATGTGAAAGACAAAGTCAGGACCCAGTTTTCTGGACATTTTCTGAGGGTCATATATGAAAAATGCTTTAAAGAAGCTTTGTTGTCATGATTTTGTCTCAGGTGGTGTGCACAGTGTTTGTAAAATCTGCCTCACATCCACCCTACAAACAATCAGCGATGAGGTCAGTTAACGAAAAGCAGCTTCATAGATGTGATTGTCTTTTTAACTCTTATTCAATAGGACATTATTTGATCTACACACTAGATGGATCCGCATGAGACTCTCCTGAGTAAAACACGGCATCTCACCAGGCCAAGTTCTGGAGTTTATCATCCCACATTTTATTTACATATCTCCACTTGTCCTAAAAATAAAAGCGTGGTCATATCATTTAGTTCTATTCTGCCAGCACCAACACGTCTCGTATTAGAAGCCAGCAGCATCTGATTGCAATCTGTACTTCAGGGCCTCTGGTTCACTTTCTCTAACTTCGCTGTGCGCTGACGTAGCTGTGTTTGTTCATCCCACACTGAAGGGTCATCCATTGTTTTGTCTTTACAGTTACTATTTATATCTCTGTCCACTCTTGATGTCTTCATCCCGGCCCAAATATCTCACACCGGGGCTCTGACTCTCAGCCAGAAAAAACATGGTTGCTTCAGAAATAAAGCTGAACCTATTAGCGCATGCTTAAAGGAAAAACAGCGGGGCATTGTCTGCAGCGGGCCGAGCTAAGCCGTGGATGTGGACAGTCGGTGCTTGTGTGTGGGGGGGAATTTGAAGCTGTAGCCTCCACCACCTGCCGCTCCTGAGATGCAGCATCACAGCCACAGCGACATGTGGCCCAGTGGGTGATTCTCTGAAAGTGATGGCATTCAATTAAAGGGAAAAAGGACATTTAATCGTGGCATAGTGCTGAAACGTGGCCTCTTACGCACGCAGGGGAACTTTGATCATGGTACCAGTGGGGGGACAGCGGCTTGTCCTACTTCATGTAATGAGATCGCCTCAACATATAACAAGTGGCTGAGGGCTGGTCACGGAAAAAAGGAATCATCATATAGTATAACAAGAATACAGGTGTCATGAATAAAACTGGTCATAAGGAATAATAAAGACTGGATTAATAAAAATGCTATCAGCATTTTATAATATATAATAATAGAATTAAATAACTCTTCTTGGCATGGCTCCATTATAAACTTTTTCTCACAATATCCCAATGCTAAGTGTGTTATAGAAATACTGCAAAGTCACTGCAGTAACTGTAGAATAAGAGATTAAGAACTTAACTGATCAGCTGATTTCTAATGCAGGGTTTCCACGGCTTCTTAAAAAGTCTAAAATTTGTTCATCAAAAATTAAGTATGAAAAATAATACCTGATATAAATACTCCGATTAACTGACTTAAATTTCTAAACCCGGTTTGGTTTTGTCGAGTTTGTTTGGAGTCGAGAGAAGATATATATATAAAAAACTAGTCGAAGCTTAATACACCTAGGTAAGGAGCAGGTTCAAAAAAATTATGTCACTGTTTGGATTACATTCTTCCCATCCCCAATTAACATAGGGATATTTGTAAGTTTGTTTGTGGGTGCACATTACACCCTGATGATACTGAACTAAAACGAATGAAAACAAATTTTACAACTTGCGTTCTTGGACTAAAATCAACTTGATTTATGGGGAAATATTTCAGATGACAGGCTTCCCCTCCAGATCCGGCTTCACTGCTGCGTCACAGCGGAGCTCCTGGTCGAGCTGGGAGCGGCAGGCGCTCAGTGACCCTTTAAATGTCCAGCTGCGACTGATAAAAGGTCACAGGTCCAATGGAAAAACCGTCACGTAATTGCAACTCGCGGAAGGTATGGTGTCAGTCACCGCTGCCAGGAGCCGGGCCCGCAGCTAATAGCGGCGCTAATACTCCCTCCCCCCATAGCGTTACTGTATGCTACTAAATGATAAACAAATCTTCTGCCCTGAATTAGCTTTTTTTGGGATTTGAGGCATTGTTGTTGTTTCCTGCCGAAAATGGAGAATTTAGTATTTTGTGCCACAGTAAAATGTGCAGAAGTCTTTTATTGCGTAATTTAATGATCATGTTAGCAGATTAGCATGTTGGAAAAGTATGTCCTGTTCAAACAGAAGTACACAACCCAGAAGATCTACTGAAATGATCATCAGTCAACATTTTTTGGGGCAATTTCAGTAAAACTTCCGAGATCCACGGTTGTTTTGTTTTAGCGTCCGCTCCGTGTTTCTGCGGCGTATTCGTTGCTCGTCGGGGATTTTCTGACACCACTGTAATGTGGTGGATGAATACAAGCTGCCAGACTATTTTGGCAAGCTGCACCGCTGTCTCGCCCTCGCCCGACCACAGATAGGGATCAGCAGTCTTTCCTGAGCGAACGTGGCTACCGGGGTAATGTTACAGCCTTATTTTCCTCCGGCCACATTCACAAAAGATTAGTAAAGCCATATCCAATATCACAGACTGTCAGTTCCCTCACCAATCAATAAACTCAGATCAGAAAGCAAATCTATAGGCTATAGGATGACATCATCAAAATAACGATATAGTCCAAGTCTTTAAAGTCGTACTACATTAAAACGGCATGATACGAAGCTGTGGGGGGGGGTGAACTGTAAAGACTAAAACTGTAAAGACTAAAAAACCCTCTGACCTTGTGCTGCTTGATTTTTTTCTTGTAACACAAACTTGTGTATGTAATCGCACGTGTTTGGGGCCTTGTTTGCTTTTTCGGGTGTCAGAGTAGCGGGCGGCCTGCAGCTGATAGTCAGCGCCCACCCAGAGGCTCCGCTCAGGCCTGTCCTCACTGTCTGGCAGGTGATAGATCAGACACGGAGGCTAACACATGTTCCTCTGAAGAAGGGGATTTAGCGAAGTGCTGACCTCTTTACAACCCTCCACACACACACACACACACACACACTCAACTCTCAGCACACACATTCATGTACACACATGCCACATGTATATCACCCCTGACAAGTGACATGGAATCGGACCTTGAGCTACATGTTCCCCCGCCAGCACCCTTCTTCCCTCTGCAGTTCACCCGCTCCCGACACTAAGCGAACTGTACGCCGATATGCTGTGGATCCTGAATCGACCCCGCCACCTCCAGCTGTGCAGATGTTTTCGATTACAGGCACATCTGTGGTCAGGGTGTCTCTGTAATGCACTGTGTTACCCGTTATGGACACGCCGGCTCAGATTTATGAAAAGTGTAAAACATGATAAAGAGGCCGACGCCAGTGTTTGCGGTTATGGGAGAACAACTCCAGCTTTGTCTTGTCAGCCCATTAGAGCAGGTGGGACACCATCCTCATATACCCCCCCCTTCCTCCTCCTCCTCTCGTCCCATATCCATTTTCTCAGAGGCTCCCTCCTCGCCGCAGCCCACCCAGTCTCTACACAAACAAACACAAGCCGCCCGATACCTTTAGCCCTGTGCAGGTTTCACACACTCGGCCCTCAGAAGCAGCTCCGCAAGGGCAAGGTCCCTGCGCCTCGTAAAGGGCGAGGAGGGGGGGCGCACGCTGCATCCCTCTGATTTTTCCCAGCTAAAATAGGGAGCTCCTAATCTCCCCTTGGCAGCTTTCGAGAGCCGGCCAATTCTGACACATTCTCTAGAAAGAAGCGCCTCTGACAGGTGAGCGGCTGAAAATAGTTGTGTTAGATACACGCACACATGTTCATGTTGTCACACACACGCTTGATACACACTGTCTGAACAGAAACACATGAGCTTCTTCTGCCCGATCACTCACTCATAGATCTGCTTAGTGATATTTATTGTTAGCGACTTAATTTTGTTGGATAGACACATAAAATAATTGGTTCTGCAATTTATTAGCTTTATTATTCCCTGTGCTGATGCAGACAAACAATGAGGACACTCAATCATGATCTGTCTTTGAATTTGAAGATTTTAACTCTATACATTTAAAGTCAGAGATTGAAAAAATATTTCCAGTTGAACATATGGATTCTTAGGTTTTAATATTATACAGAAAATATATTTTATAATTCTGCCACAGTGTAGAACGAGAGGATGTTTCCAAATGAAATATTGGTAGGTATTTTATATTTAGAATTACAGTGTTACAGTGTTAACATTACAGTGTTAACAAACTTAATATTTTTTATTTTTAACTTTTAGCCAAGATAAATTTTCCCGCCAGATTTCTTGCATTTAAACACTGGTGGATCTTTCTCACTGAATTTTAAATTAAAAAGTTATTGCACTGTGAACAGATTTTGTAAAAATGCAACAATTAATGTTGCATAATGCCTCAAATTTTGGTGTTTGTGTTCAAGAGGACTATGGCATCAGTACTTTCTAAAAATCCTAACCCTAATACAAAAACATTTTCAACAATTTTGTGAGTTTTAAAGACTATTTCTGGTGTTTTGTATTGAAGAGGTCGTGGAACCATTACTTAAATATTTTTTTAATCCTGATTATGACTGTGTCATTCACGAATTATTGTTTTTATTTATACGGACACAAGACAAATTACAATTACCTTTTGAAACTGAATAAAATTTTTAAAGTGTATGTACTTAAAAGAACAAAAATAAATACACATACAGACACACACACACACACACCACCACCACCAGAAAAACACAGCAGCTGTAGTCAGGACTGTGCTTTAAGGTTGCACAAGTCAATAATGATATTGAATGTGAAAGGGAAGCCGGGGTCAGGTGGCCATAAAGATCTCTCCTATGCAAACATGCCTCCTCGTCTTTATACACACACACACACACACACACACACACACACACACACACAGGGAGGATGGATTGTCAGGCACTATCTTTGTGTGTCTCTCTCTCATCGTCTGCAATAAGTTACGAGCATGTTGTCCTGTACTGTATGATCCCACCAAGCTCATAATATCCAGCACACGCTCTTCTACCATCTCATTCCTCACCCTCTTCATAACCTCACCCCCTGCATCCATATTTTGGCTGCCACATTTTATGAAGGGCCAGCAACCGGGGCAGCGGGGAAAAAACAAAAAGAAGGATCTGGATGCTTTTAAGATGATCTGTGCACCTGCCTGTTTACAGGCTCTCTCTCTCACTACCCAGACACAAGCTGTCTTCTGGACACGATTGTCTTGAAGCATGAAGGCTGCTCGGGATTTTGGGCATGAGTTGTGGAATGTGCTGCCCCCCCCCACAAGGGGCCTCGTTCAGCTGTCTTGTTGTGGTCAGATTCTCAGTACTGTGCCGTATCACATGGAGGAGATAATCCTGCACTGGTTGGATCAGGCACTGGCCGGGACAGGCATCAGAGTGTGGCTGTGTGGGAGGAGACGTTCACCCTGATGCTAAAAGCAAGAGAGAAAGAGATGGAAAAAGTGAGAGAAAGAATTTTTCAAAAATTGCAGAAAACTGATACATTCAGCCAGAAGCAGCAGCGTGTTTTGTCTTATTCCCTCAACCCTCCCATTCTTCAGCATTATCTAATCCTTTTTTTCCCTCTCTCTCTCTTTCTGTCATTCTCTCTGCCCTCCTGCCACGGCCCTCTGCCGTTTGCGGCGCTGCTAAGCTGTAAACTGAAACTGGTTAGCGCTGAGCTCTTAATTCTTGTCAGTATCTATTAATTATGGGCCAGTTGGATGTTCCAGTTCAAACGACCCCCGCAGATCTTGGAATTCTAACTTCGGCTGCTTGGTCACTTGTCGCTTGTCGCAGCCACATGACCATGCAGAGAAACCAAACCAGTGTGTGTGTGTGTGTGTGTGTGTGTCTGTGTGTGTTAGCTTCTGTGTGCAGACGATGGTAGATGTCAGGGACAAAAGTAGCAACAATTCACTGTCACTTAGTCTGATCATGGATGCATGAATTCAGGTTACACACAACTGCCTAATATATTTTTGCGTTGCACAAGCTTGTTGTTGCGAGAGCCTTTAGTAACTGTGTCTGCCTTCATTAGGCCAATGTGAGCTATTAACCAGGGAGAAGCTACTGAACTGATTTAATATGTGGAGTACATGTGCACGGTTTCCTGAAGCACAATTTATAATTTTAAATTTACCTTAACTGTGAATGATGGTAAAAAGAACGGGCGAAGCTCCATCTGTCGCAGAACCCAGTTTCTAGCTGCCTAACTGACTAATTAAAACTGCATCCACATGTGTTCAAAGAACAAGAAGTCTATTTGCAAGCCTTATTGATTACTTTAAGGCATACAAATGGAAAGCTGTGTTAGGAGAGGGGCTCTCGATTTAGCTTCAATCTGCCAGGCATAAAATGATCTCACTGTGTTTGCTGGGAAGAATGAGCTCCCTCTGGGCACGCCGGGTAATTAGGTTAGTGGATAGTCGGTGTCAGGAAATTGAAAGACCATCCTAATCGGATTCTTTTGTTTCCAGGGGAATCAGAGGAATTTATATGAGTCACTGGGAAATCTCGCACACAACTCAATTCCACTTGACCATGTAAAAACCTGTTTGCTCTGCTTCCTCATCCTCAAACAACTTTTAATACGAGCGCGTGAATCCAGCACACGAGGAGCTGCTGGTGTAGCCTGCGTCCTCTGAGATGGGTTTCAAGATAATCCCAGATATGTCACATTCGTATACTAATAGGTTCTTACACTCGTTTGTCTGTAAGGAAGCATCACACAGTTTACAGCCAAGAGGTTCAAAGTAAAGGAATAAAACTCTGTTGTCCCTGTTAGAGCCTAATTTACATAGCAAAAATATACATGCCAAAACCTCTGTAATGTTTTATGCATTATAGGCTATATATATATATGTATATTAATACATATTCCTTTAGACTACAATAAAAAAAGTGTCATAATGAGTCAATCCTTAAGAGAAATATATGACTCAGCAAAATATATGCAGAGAAATCATGTTTCCAAACAATAACATGTAATAAAGAGGCTGCAGTATTTTTATTAGCAGCAGTTTTAGTTGTAGCCGTAGATGTAGTAACATTCATTTTTGCATTTGATTGAAGAAATTAAGATGAAATAACAAACATGTTCTGTAGATGTTGCAACTTTTTGCTCATATGAGTTTTATTTAGATTCTCTGTGTCTGATCTTTTTTATCAGGCGTACGTCTGGACCGGGTGAGAGGCGGGCGACAGAAGTACAAACGGAGGTTGGACGCAGAGAATGGAGGCTACCTCGGCCTCACTCTCCCCCCTCCTGCCAAAAAGCCATGTGAGTTTATCTTTGAGTGTGTGTGTGTGGTTTTTTTTATCTCATTGAGTCATTTGAAATGTCTGCGGTATCTTGTTGCATACAGAAAAACCTTTATTCTGTTTTTTATATCATAGAGGCAATATCACAACATGGGACATTTATGAAATTCTGCAGGCTGAGATTTGCAAAACTGCAATTGCAAATGTATTAAACTCTAATAAAATATGTCACTGAGGAATATGTGTACTGTGACTGTTTGTAGATTATAGATTTTAACTTTCATCCATTTATGTTCAAGTCAGATTCATCACCATGCAAACCTGTCAATGGTTTTGGAATTTGCACCATGGATTTTTTAATTTTTAATATTCTTTAAATTAATACTTTCCAAATAGAGTATGTTTTTATAATCCATCTGATCATTTTCTTATTTTCCTTAAAAAATAATATTATGTGTCGTCTGAAACTGACACACAACACAACATTTCTCTCTTTTCTCTCTATCTCTGTGTCCACCTTCGTCTCTCTCAGTGACAAAGATCGTTTCCCATCTGTTGGTGGTGGAGCCGGAGAAGATCTACGCCATGCCTGATCCCACCATGCCCGACGGCGACATCAAGGCCCTGACCACGCTGTGCGACCTGGCCGACCGCGAGCTGGTGGTCATCATCGGCTGGGCCAAACATATCCCAGGTAGGGAGACGTGACCACTAATGATCGAATGACTGTGTTGTCTGGGAACTGGTTTTCTGAGACGTTTGGTTTCTTAATTATTTAAAAGTGAGGAGGTATTTAAAATGTGTATTTTTTAAAATCTTTTTAAAGCCATTTGACAACTAGAACATTCAGTAGAGTACAGTACCCTATGAAAGCACATTTCAATTCACTAGATCCATATTTTTATTTGGATCTGCACCAAATTGCACTAAACTAAATTGCGTCCATTAATTATTCTCAAAAAGAAAGTTAAACTAGTTCCTGAGTCTGCACCTTCGGTCGTGCCCCGCCCCTCCACAAAATTTTGTGCAAATCAGTTGAGTCATTTTTACATAATCCTGCTAACAAACACACAAACAAAGGGAGATGAAAACATAACCTCCTTGGGGAAAATAAAAATCACTAGAAGTCTGTATATATAATAAATGTATGAGACATGAAAAACATTTTTACTGATAGTAAAATTGTATAAATATTTTAGTTCCAGGAAATATAACTGTTTGGGTCTCATTCTGTTGGTAAAGCAAAGATGTGAACCCACATTTGTTTTGTTAATTTGCTGAAATGAAACAATATGAGATTAGTGAAGTAGTTCACTGACTGTTGCAAACACACACACACACACACACACACACTGATAAACACACACATTCATGTGCACACACAGGATAATTAACATCTGCTACTCATCTGCACCTAAGGGAGAAGCTAGTCCCATATTCTAAAATCTAATCAATAAAGAGCAGCTGAAACCTTTGATTTGACTGGGTAGGGTGGGAGAGTCTGGGGGGGGTTGTGTTTGGGATCCGCCCCTATGTCAATGTATTCCATTTCAATCCTGGACTTAAAGAAAGCAATCCTCTTACTTACTTAAGGAGACTACACAGGGCCTGTGGTAAAATTGATTTATTTAGGGAAATACTGACGGATTTCCCTGCTCCTTGTTGACAAATTCTTAAATAAGGCTTGTTATGCAAATGTCCTCAGATCTTCTTTTTTCTTCTCATCTCACCGAGTTGAAACAGACTTTGGACCCCGGTACGTTTAAAGGGAGCACAGGTTGGAGTCAGAGTAGATGCATCACATTGATCCAGTCAAAGAAAAGACGGAGTAAAGTTGCACATGAAGCCGATGTTCTAAATGTTTTTAAATATATTTGTAGGTTTTGTTTCTCAATGAATCAGGTCAAACACCCATGACAGTGACTACTCAGTAAAACAGTACAACACAGACATAGTGAATTCACTTCTATTTTAAAATCAAGAAAATCTGCATTCCTGTTATTTTTTCATGAAATTCTGCTAAAATGATTCATTGTGTATTAAAATACTATAATCAGCTGCAATGCCTTTCGTTCTCGATCGTACACGTAACAACTGGAGATAGTTTTTCTCTTCCGTCGTTGGTTTATTCCCAGCTGGCACATCACTAACCAGCTGCTTATCCCTCTGTTTGGCCCTAATCTCTGATTCGTCATCAGATTTACGTTTGACCCCTTAAAAATGCAATTTGGAGCGGGTGACGGTGTGCCGATCCCCGAACCTGCCCCGGGAACCTCAGACGAATGAGTTTGGCAGTGACCGACATGGTGGAGGGCCGCTGGGGTACGAAACAAGGGTGCTGGAAATTCACAGTTTTCTTTTCCCTGATCTCTTTTCTTCTATCACCTCTGCCAAGGAGGTTATGATGCATTCATCAACATTTCTTTGTTTGTTAATTAGCATGATTTCACAAAAACTACTGGACAGATTACCATGAAACTTGGTGAAAGGATGCAGTATGGGTCAATTTGGCGTTTTTCAACATTTCCTTGATTTCTGTACCAGATAATTCATGTATCTTGATGAAAAAATGTGTGAAATTTGGTGCGGATCCAAATAAAAATCTGGAGAATTTAAATGTGGTTTCATAAGGGGACTGTTGGGCCTCGACGGAGGTTTACACTCCGGGCCATTCTAGTTTGGGTATATTCTTCAGAGAGTGAAAAAGAGGCCAAACAGGGCAACGACAATCAAATCCTTCAATTTAATCATCGCCACGGGGTGCAGGAATAAATTCATATTTTTGGACCTCAATCTCATTTTACATTTTCTATGTATAACTATTGATCTTTTATTCTACGAGGATTTCAATCCAGACCTGACGGAGTTATTAAAGGGGCATGTGACACTCTGGGGACATTTTACCCGGGGCCACCAGGTCAGAGTGTCACCAAGTAACGATTAAGACAAAAGGGGTCCCTCCAGTTTAACAGTCCACTCCCACCATTACACTCATAGACCACTGCGCAAATGGCCTTAACGATGAGGTAATAAGAGTCATTACTGCAGATCGCTCCATTAATGCAAAAGTCCTTCAGCACCCGAGACGTGGGGACCGGAGAGGAAACATGCAATGTTGAATTTATTTTCTGTTACACATTTCTGAAGGCTTTAATATTAATACATTCACTGGTCATGTGCACAAGTTGAATATTTCTTTGAATAAAAGCAAATATTTGTGCCAAATAGATGGAGGTGTTTGATGTAAAAATGGAAACACGGTAAAGTGACTGGATGCATCACACAGACTCGTGGAGCAGTCGTCTGGAGGGCAGAGGTGTCCATTAATTTGTGCAGCAGTTAACACACACACACCCTCTAAGACATGTAACTGCACACAACATGTGTAGATTTATATTCCAGGCAGCAGCATTTAGTGCCCTCTGGTATTTAACGTTCACTCAGTTCAGAGCATGGCTTTCTTCCTCTTTGTTTTTTTTTCCCACTCTCTTTTTCTCTTCCACTCACACACACACTCTCTCTCTCTCTCTCTCTTTCTCTCTCTCTCTCTCTCTCTTTCTCTCTCTCTCCACCATCATATCTTTCACGCACACTCTCTGGCTTCCTTGTTCTCCTGCTCCCCTGGCTCTCCCTCTCCTGCTCCTCCTGCTCATATAGGGCCCTCTAGTCTCATTATTACCTCTGTCTTTTTATTAGGCCCATTAGGGCTCTTAGGAGGCCTGTAATGATACTAAATGAATAGAGAGTGAACTGCTGTCTGTTTTAGACCCAGCTCTCAATGACAGCTTCAAGCTTCACTGCCAACCACTCAGTCTCCTCGTTTTCCTGAATAGGGATTCAATTACTCATCTGATCTCTACCTGTACTGTACTGTTGCATAGAGACACTACTTTTATTTTCTGCCAGCAACCACTAACATCATGGTGTTGGTGTGTATCAGATTGGGTACTTCCCAGAAATATACATAGAAATGTTATGGTGCGTTTAAGACATCATGTTAGGTTGTTCTTATTACACTGATGTTTGTTCTCGTAAGTTTGCTTTAATTCGTTTTTACAATCTGATTATGTTAAAATGGGGTCAATGATTGACAGCTGAGACTTACCTGTAATTGGTCAAGCACTTGTATCGATAGTGGATATTTTGGCTGCATTTCTGGATAGTGATTCTATAATAAGTGTATTCTATAATAACCTTTCTATATATCACAGCGTTCTCCAGTCAGCCTTAACACTTACAACCGTGTCTGTTCAGTTGTATTGTTGCTATAAAAAATGTTCCCTACCTTGATAACGTAATAGTAGATAATAACTCCTTTTCTTATCGTTCAGTAGAAACCTGAAGTGTCTCTTGTCTCCGTTCTGCTTTTTGTCATCACAAGTGGAGGAAACTACAGAGACACAGACGTTCTCCAGTTTGCTCAATATTGTGTCATGTTTGGTCAAACGGTAGTAAATCAGTAGGGTGAAATATTGATATTTCATCAGGGGGGAATCACCCTCCAGAGTGACACTTAACTCAGCCACCTCCGGGCGACGTATCTGAAGCTGCGGGGCGACCCCCGGGGAGCCGGGAAGTCACTCCATCGCTTCAATAAATTGAAGTGAAGAGAGAGAGAGAAAAAAAACAGGGAGGCTGGGGAAAAGAAAAGAATGATGAAGTAAAGGAGAAAGCAGTTGAACAGGATGTCATGTAGTATGGCAAAAAAAGAAAATACGAAAGTGAGCATATGACAAAAGAAATGGTGCATAGATATCAAATTTGTTCATGTTTTTTTGTCATCCATAGAAAAAAGTTTAAACACTGGTATTAAGTGATATTTTTTATGTTTTTACTCCTCCTGTTTTTTCCTGACAGACAATATGTTATGTCATTATCCTTAATACACCTGTAGAGGATTAAACCCAGTCATTTCTTATTTATAGTTATCTTTTGGGGGTGGGGAGTGAATTCATGACTTCCTGATGCAGCCTACAGTTTCTACATTCAGGGATCCTGCACTCCTCCCATCCCCCAACTAAACATGTACCGGATGTCCTCCATCAACTGTCTGTTTGTCAGATCTGAGGCTTGGATCGATCCCCCTTTCGCATTTGGCGGACTGATTACAATCTACTAATCAATGACACCCCCGCTACTCTTTTCTCTATGCCTCATTCTCTCTCTTTCCATCGTCCCTCTATTTGCTTGATAAGAACCATCGGGAGGACCTCTTTTAAGTCAACCTGCCCCATTCCCGTCCATAAAAGCTCAGATTTAAGTAAAGCAGAGTGGTGGGTTCAGGACCCTGGTCAATACCCCCAGTCACCTTCCTATTCAGCACAGAGCAGTGAAAGGTATTCAGGTCCTTTCAGGTGTCCATCTGTTTGATGTGGTGTGTGTGAATGTTAGAGGAGAGAGTTGATGGGTCGACCTCGAGATGTTGGATTAAATGAGGTCAGAGGATTGAACAAAGAATGAAGGAGCAGGTGGAATAAACCAAAACCTTCCGTATGAATAAAATCGTTCCTCGAGACGCAACTTCATGTTAGAACCAGCTCTAATTCTGAATCAGACCAGTGTGAGTTTCAATCTCAGACTGTAAATAAAGATGGACGTCACGTCGCCCCCTCCTCGAACTATCCAGGAATGAAGCTAAAATATCACGAATGCCGCCATCTTGCACATTTGGAGCCAAGGACTGCGCAGTATAGCAATCGGGGAATGGGGCTCAGCCAATAACAAGCTGTCAATCATAACGTTACACCCTGTTTGTTTACTGAATCAAAACTTACCAAAAAAATGTGCACTCGAGCAAACAGTGTGATTAATGACAGAAACAAAGATCTTTGGGGAAAATGTATTCGTCTACTTTTTGTCTGGTCAATGTCCTACCCACTAACATGGAGGAGCTGGGATTTATAACCAGTACTGCAGCCAGCCGTTTGGTCCATCTTTATATTATTTTATACTTTATATTTATATATATGTGTATGGTTTAAAAGAAATGAGTCCACCATATTTAAACACAACTCTTCTTTATTATACTGTTTTCTTTTACCCTGTTATTCCCCAATTGTTTCCAGCTATCAGCCCTTTGTCGGATTTCTTTTTTTATCTGAGGCTTCTTTATTGTTTGTAATTTAGTTTTGTGACTTACATTACATTACAACCAATACATCATCCAGGCAACTGAGCAAAATCCTCACTGATACAGAAGAACGCTTTGGGGGGAAAGCTCAGAGTATGAAAAAAGTAGAAAAACTAAACATAAAATCAACGTTTCACTTACATTTTATATAAAACAGTAACTGTAATGCCAATGTGCTCTCACTTCTCTTTTTAAAACATATTTTTTCTATAATTACATAACTATTACATAATTTCTCATATGCTGACCTCAATATATTCATTTTCATTTGTGTTTAACTGTTAATTATGAATCTCAAATGCTTTAATTTTTTCTTGAAAATTCACATGACTAATTGATGAACTTTATATAGACTACCATGAGGAAGGCACAGTCACTGGAAAATGTTTGAGGAATAAAAATTATATTGGAGAAGAGTTTTTTTGAGTTTACATTATATCATATCTATGTATTTAGTTTGACTAATTAGTCCATTTTACAATCCAGACTTTATTCCTTATCGTAAAGAAGAATTTGTTTTATGTTGTTTCTTCATTACCTCCCGACTAAAGTAAGAGCTGGTGTGGGCTGGATTTGTCCTCACTAAGTGCTGCCTCATGTGCTTATGCAGTGGGTCACAGCAGAAGTGTTGACGGTTGATGGGTGAAGCAGCCCTGGCTCATGTTTCAAAGACCTCCACACTTGACTGATTTATATTGCCCCTCTTAAGCCACCGCATACAGTGGTCGGCCTCCGTTTCAAGTGGGGCTTCTCTGGGGATTGTGCAGCCCTGTACACACAGCCCATAAAAACATATAGAGGACTTGAAATGGCCAATTAAAGTGCCGTGGCTTTAATGGCTTGATCTCATGCTCTGTCATGTGGTTGTACAGCAATACCTGGAAAGAAGAAAATAACATGCTGTGTTTTAATCCTGCAGGTTTTTCCACTCTCTCGCTGGCAGACCAGATGAGTCTCCTGCAGAGCGCCTGGATGGAGATCCTGGTGCTGAGCATCGTGTTTCGCTCGTTGCCCTGCGAGGATGAGATCGTTTACGCGGAGGACTACGTGGTGGACGAGGAGCAGGCGAGGATTTCCGGCCTGCTGGACCTGCACGTCGCCATCCTGCCGCTGGTGCGACGCTACAAGAAGCTGCGCATGGAGAAGGAGGAGTTTGTCACGCTCAAAGCCATCGCCCTCGCCAACTCAGGTGAAATGAACCTCCTCAATCCCCAGGTGGAGGAAGTACTCACACATTTTACTTGAGTTAAAAGAACAAATACAAAGTAAAAGCACAACCTTAACTTTCTGCTTGAGCTGGTTGAAAATGATGCAGAAAATATTCTGTCATCTGCACAATGTCTGTTAGACAGTGTTGAAGATAAACTTCTTCATCCCTTAAAAAACGCTGAATTACTTTTGATTGACAAATGTTTTAAATATTTAAATGTATCATCGAGACTTGATGATTTTATTGTAAAACACAGTCATTCTGGTAAATATCCTTTGCTTTTTACACATAAACATAGAGCTGGGGCAATAAAACAATATCAATAATTATCACAATATCATTTTCACCATTAGCAATATAACAAAGTACATTTATATCGATGTAATGATTATGCATTGTGCAGATTCAGTGAGACTCAGATTTATGAAATGTTTATCAGGTTTGTCACTCTCTGCTCATAAAGACACATTTTAAACCCCAACCTTCCCCCAGGAGCAAAAATCAGCCTTAAACTTAAAAGAAAGGATAATGGGTCATTTATCATGATAATTATCAATATCGACTGACAGACATTATTTATCTCGCTATAGTTTTTGGCCATATCGTCCAGCCTTAAACATACATATAACTGATATGAGTTTGACCAGGAGGTGCATCTCTCTGTTAAATCTCAAAGATCGTTGACATTTAATTAAAGCAAACAGAGAGAAAAAAAACTAAAACATGTCAGGTGATCGTCTATATCTGCTGAGTTGATCACTTCCACAGTGAAGGATGTCTGATAAGAGGGGGACAAAAAGGTCACCAGCGTGGTTGTTTAATTTGACACCACCCCCCCCCCCCATGTGTGGGAGGGTGTGTGCATCTATATTTTAATTTGTGTGTGTGTGTGTGTAAGAGAGACTGTCACATTGCGCTCTCATTCTCTCCATCTCCATAACAGTAGCTGCCAGCGTGCCACAGCCGAGGGAGATATATTTAGCATTTCATTAGGAAAACAGGGGCTGTCAATAAAATGTGTTAAGTGGAGTGGAATGAGCGTTTGGGAGCGACGGGCCTCGTTTGTTCCAATGTGAAGATGCTGTGCCCGTATCGACAGTTTGCTTTTCATGAGGCCGGGCCTGTCCCCCTGCTAATCAATGCCTGTTAGGAGTCTTTTCTCCTGCCTGACTGAAAAAATGAAAAATGCTGAGGCCAGAGCTTTAGTCTTCTGATGACAAACTCTCCATGGGAGAGTGGAGAGGGAGGAGGATAAATGAGGAGGTGAGGGCTGCAGGGAGGGAGGGGTGATGGAAAGACAGGGGATGTAAAGGTAAGGGAGAAGTGTGAGAGAGCGAGGCAGGGGTTGGGAGGGAGGCTCAGGGAGGGCGAGAGGGCAGCTTCGGCTCGTTTGAACCCAGTGTCGGGGAGCTCCGGCTCCATGGGGTCCTGTGGGTGTGACAGCTGTGGAAATTCATGGCCATTGATTTTGTAATTAGCGGAGTATCGACGGGATTGACGCCAGGCTGCTGACGGATTACATGGAAATTGTTTCTTCAAAGTTAGTTTTGCATTCCGCCCCTAACCTCCTTCAACACACACACACACACACACACACACACTCTAAAACAGTCACACACTCTCCCTGTGCATTTCCACACACTGACACACATTTGAAAACATATTCTTTATTCCCCTCCTCTCTCCCTCTCTCTCTGTCTCTCTCTCTCGGTTTCTCACGCGCACACATGCTCGCACGGCCAAGCGAGGATCAGATCGGCATTAACATGAAGGTTTCAAATGAAGAGTAGCTGGAACACATGTGCGGTCCACATAGCCTAGTTAATTTCCCAAGATAGAAATGCAATTTACACAGAAGGCGACTGGTAAAAGAGACTTAATCAGTCAGTTAGGAACATAATTAGCCTTGTACTTTCCTTTTTTCTGCCTCATTTACATGTTCATACACGGTCTTACTTCACTCTGCAACTTTAGCGGCGCCGATCTAATCCACTCAGCCGCTTCAATCAGCGGCCACGTTGGGTTTGGCCTCAGTAATAACAGCGTGTTTAGGGTGAAACAAGTGGAATTTACTGAGATAGATAAAGCCGAGAAGAATTGTTTTGATTCAATTATAAGAGTGGATTGAATTCACATTCTGTTTTATCAAAGAGTTGATGAATTGTGGATATGATGCATACACAGATTAGACCTGACACTGTGAGTCTGGGCAGTGAAATTGGCTGAAAGCAAACCGCTGGTTGTCCATTAAAGCTCTCTCCGTCAGTGTGTCGTTTGGAGGACGAGTGTGTTTTTTTTCTAACTTGTAGACTTATACATAGAAAGCAGTTTTTAATAAGTCTCAACTGGTTTTATTTTAGAGCCTATACATAAGGGGGCCAACTGCTCTTTCTTATGGAAATGAAGGCCATCTGCTGCCATCATTCAGCTGAACGATATCCTAGTAATGCAGCCATCTGAATTCATTAGCAAGGGGGGGGATGTATGTGGTCCATGATACCAAAAGAAATGAATCTTATTCCTGTCCCACTGTATATTTATACAGACCTACAGTACGTCTCCCTCTCCTGTCTCTCCCCAGAGTCCTGGCCACGCTTAGGCATTTATTTAAGGAGTGTCATTAACCACTAACAAGAGAAAACCTCTCTCCAAAATTGCATGTTTACAAAGAGTGGATGCGGAATCCGAAGCCGGCTGATGCTGCTGCAAAAACAGCAAAGTTGTCGTAGCTGTGGATGTGCTGCGCAATGCAGATCAATAGAAAAAGCTTTACACAGGATGCATTTGTTGCCTCCACCAAAGAGGTTATGTTTTCATCTGTGTTTCTTTGTTAGTTTGTACGATGGCGCAAAAAACTACTGGGCTGATTTCCACGAAACTTGGTTTCGGATGGGTTATGGGTCAGAGAAGAACCAAATACTTTTTGGTGCAGGTTTGCTTTTTTAACATTTCTGTTGAATTCTCAGATAATTGTGTGAATATTGATTTGGTGGAGGCCTTAGTTATAAGACTTGTTTTCATTCAAGGGGACTGTTGGGCCATGGCGGATGTATGCGCTCAACTTCAGTTTAATTTGTAACTTTAAAATACTAATTATTGAAATATTTTCTGTTTGTCTTCCTTCCCTCCATCATATTTTCATTCTTCCCCCCCCCCCCCCCCCCACCACCACCATTCCTGCCCCAGACTCCATGCACATAGAGAACATCGAGGCTGTCCAAAGGCTCCAGGATTCCCTCCACGAGGCCCTGCAGGACTTTGAGGGCTCCCAGCACCCGGAGGACCCTCGGCGGGCAGGCAAGCTCCTCATGACCCTGCCGCTGCTCCGTCAGACCGCCACCAAAGCGGTCCAGCACTTCTACGGCATCAAAATGCAGGGCAAGGTCCCAATGCACAAACTATTCCTGGAGATGTTGGAGGCCAAGGCTTGACACCTGGGGCCAGATGTTTGACAGGCAGCTGCATTGCCCAATGCGAGGCGAGAGACAGCCCGTGAAAACAAAGGCAGCGTGTCGATTGACAGTGAAGGGATGAAGCTTTGGACTACTGAGTCATTTTAACACTTTTAAATCGTAATAACATAAAGAGAAAAAGGAACTGGAAAGGCTCGAATATCAACCTGATTGATGTGGGATCACGATGATGTATATAAAGATGTTGTGTACAGAAATCAGGCAACTAAAGGTCTTGTTATAACCAGAGACCCACTGCTGTATATCACCTGAAGCTTCTGTGAATTTGTTTCTTATCTTATTTTCATCTCAAAATGAAAAGTGTGTTAATATAAATGTCCTGAAGAACTGCGTGGCTACGTGACGGCCACATTACGTGTTTTTTTGTTTTGTTTCTTCCTTTGGTATTTTCTAATCTCAGTTGTTGAAGCAATAGTCTCTAACTGGTCTGCATATAATATGTGTACTGTATATTGTGTGAAATTGCACTGGGCAGGGGGGGGTGGGGAGAAATGTTAGACATATTCTTATATTCGTCATCAAAGAAAGCGCCGCCCACCGTGGGCGTGTAACTCGACTTCCTCGTAATATATTTACCTCATAGTAGCTTCATCGACTCGGTGGTTATGGTCAACTCGGTGCTTACAGGAGGAGAGTGGCTGGCTGGTGATCATAGTTCACAAAGTGTTTGCACTAAGCATCCATGAACAACGTGGCAATAATGGGTGTTATTGCGTCTGGTAGCAAAATGAGCCTCGGGTCGTCGTTTGTGCTTCTAGAGACTCACTCATCACTTCTCATTGGCAACTAAAACATACTGTGAAACACACACATGCTAAGCTAAACTCTGTGCTAAGATTTTTTTTATTCTCATAAAACCTTTATTTTTGGATAAATACAGATCAAGGACACAACAACAGCAATGCAGTTTAATGCAATCTAATATGGCCGGTAATGCAACCTGATAGCCCTGCAATAAAACACACCTTTGTGATGATTGTAACATTCAGTCGTGTCTCAAAGGTTCGTATTCTACTCTGTGCTCATTTTGAGTCTATATGTTGTGATGGTGCCGTATTACATTGCGATATATTGTATACGTTTTGCTTTTTCTTGTGTCCAACCCCCCTTTGTTTAGGTTACTCTCAAACAAGTGTCACAATATTGAAAGCATCGGTTTTCACAACTGAAAACATCAGGAATTAAAATGTCTGATAACTTAAACACCTGGAATCAAAGATGAATCAGCAGATTAATCAATTGTGAAAATAAATATTTGTTGCCATCACAATCAGGCATCATTTCTCTACTTCTGTTATAATTTGACAAAGTTTTATTTCCTATATCATCAGAGATAACGTTTGCCTATGCATAAACAGCCAATGTAGAAAGATATTGACACACAACTGCAACAGATGAAAAAAAATTGTGGGCTACGACAAATAATTTTCCCTTTGATCATTTGATCGTTCTGAGTTTCAATGTGAAAAGAATAAAAATAAAAACTTTATGTCAGACAGCAGACAACAAACCTGGTTATGTTTAACACTGTAACAGATGCCTGGTTTAAATGTTTGTGTGCAACAATATAATGACACATGTTTCTGAGCATAACTTGAATTTCATCTCTCTGCATTAATAATTAAAGATAACACGAGACCTCAGTTTACAGATGTTTTCTATCAATTTTGAGCTCGTCTTTAATGACGGCATGAACTCATCATTCAGGCTGTAACTGTACTTTGTGCAGGATTTTACAAACACACTCTGACACAAGCTAAGTTCGTAGTCGACATATTCGAGACATGACACTAGACTTTTAGAGTGTTCTATCTATCTATTGTAAACCAGTTGCCAAATTATTCAAAGAAAGCAATCAGAGTAACGTGGCACAGTTATCAACATATTTCTTACCGTTCTGATAACCTGAGCAGGTTGGATGGAACGAAATAACACGATAATAGATTAACGAGCTGCTCGTAGGATTGTAGTGGGAGAGATATTCTTCCTTATGAACACTTTCTTGTCTTTAAAGTGTCAAGTGCCATTAGCTTCTGCCCAAACAAAACGAAAAACAGACAAAGCCAAGCGATCAGTAACTACAGACAATCCCCACAGGAAACACGCGCTATTGATTCCCCGTAATGTAATGCATAGATAATTATAACCCAATACAGTAGAGAATACAATTCCCATGATGCACTCCCCTCAAATGTGTAACTAGCTAATCCTTCCCCAGTTGAAGTTCAGGGGATGAACCACCTTTGTACAGTAGCAAACCAAAGCTGAGTGTCGTCAAATGGAGCGAAACATGAGTGAAACTGCATTTTGAGCCAGATGTTACACTTCACCACTGTTTCCTCATAAATATGGATGTTATTTATAATATGTCATTCATAGTAATAGCGTCATTCTGCTGAGTGTCCAGCTGTGTGTCATGTTTTCATACTGGAGACGAGCTCCATCTGTGTTTGGCCCAAAAAAACTTGACCACCACAGACAAACGGATCAGAGCTCGGTCACGTATACCTCCTCTGTGCACTTTAAAGACTCATAGCAGATCATTTTTTCTCCCCAACTTTCCCGTCACCCCAAATTAATATAAGAAAAATAAAAGAAAAAAAAACGCCTAATTTACTTTCCGCGTTCTAAAACGGTTCGACTACATCCAATTAATTCTAATTGTCTCCTAAGCTGAAATTCTCAATAGAAATGGAGCAATTAAATTCCTGCTTTGGTTCCACCTTGGGGACGCGAGACGTTTTATTTCGGTTGATGGCGGGGAGGGTTCGTCTAAAAAACCTTTACAAAGGCGATTTCACGGGTGTCTGTAATAGTTTTCGTAACGGAGCGATCACTGCGCTATGCAATGGCAAATATGGCCACCTATGTGTTGTGGGGTGTCGGGCTGACATTTAGCTGTGCTTTGTTTACAACATGGACATTCTGTATAGTGCTGTACGCGGCAAATGTATTGTGCATATTTCCCTATATTCCCTATACTGTAGCTGCTGTGCGTTGATATAGCGATGATCATGTGTTTATTTTGCCTGTTCAATTAATTTTTCATGATGTAGTAGCAACTTCAGCACCACTTTAGAATCCACCTGAATAGCTGTATAATACAAATCACCTCGCTGAGTCAAAAGGTAATTACTCAAGTGAGAATAAGTCTGTTCTATTTGTCCGAGGTGGGATATTCTCTTCTTTTATTTGTGTTTTCTGTGTCTGTCTCTGTGGATTTTTGGTTCTCAGCACAGCAGGACGTATAGCGACTGAAGTCGACCCTATACCTCAATTCATATTTTGAAAATTACACTGGGTTTGGAAGCGGGCCATGGGCTCCTCCTGGGAATCAGTGGCACAGAAATAAAGTGACATCACTGACTGGGTATTAAAAAAAATGTAGATGAACCTACTGCAATTGGGGAGCACATTCCTCGGAGGAGAAAGCTGCTTATTCGCTGTTCCATTTACAGACTTATCTTATCTCCATGCACGCTGAGATGACGAGATTTACATAAAGCATGGAGGAACCTCCCCGGCCATCCCGGTCCGTGGTGTTTGATGGACCCTGCTTGGTGTACGTACCACAGACATGATTACCCAAGAGGTTTACTCCCCTCAAAAGCATTATGTTAGCAATTGTGATGTATGGATCAAGCTAAAAGGAAGCTTTGGTTCATTTTAATTATAAACTTACCCAACTCTCTGAAAAAGACACACGCGTTCACAGTGCTGAAAACAAAGGGACGAATATGAAAAATGAACTAAAAGGGGAAAGACGACCACAGCTGGGTTTCACTGGACAGTATCGTGTGCCATCTTCTTGTTTTTTGTTTGTTGTGTTCATGCCTACTGTACCCATGTGTAAATATATGCTTTTTGGAGTGAGTCAGATCTAACAGTGCACTGAATGTACAGTGACAATAAAAAATCACATGGTTTATGTATAATCACCGCACGTGATTTCTTCAAGGCAGCGACTATGGAAAGAAAACTACAAAAACATATACATTTGTACCATATTTAATGACGAGTTTAATTATTTTTCAGGATTGCAAATCACAATAAATTACCCACACACTTCTATCTCATCTACAGGAAACGGTCTTCCTCAGGTCACGACCCTCAGACCTGGAGAGGACTGTTTGTGTTGAAAACACCTTGTCGTTGTAGAATAAAAGAAAATTGGGAACAAGAAATCAGCATGTGGGTATTTTTGTGCAGCACCTGCAAAGATTTGGGGATTTCTATGCTCCTTACTGATTTCCAGTTTGGGTCTTATTAATAAAACCTTGTTGACTTTGTTCACAAACCGTTTTAAGCACCAGTTTCAGAATAAGACAAGAAGAAAGACAATAATTCTTATTTGCATAATAAACTCAACTTCAACAATGGGTACTATACATGGAGGACAAAATTAGAATCATACTACTATCTATTTACTCTAATATTATATATCACAAGTCACTTTTCCCTAAAGCAACACAGGCTGTTAATTTGTGTAGGAATCGCTTAATAGTAAAGAAAAAACTTTAAATCCTCATCTCCTCCCAGATATAAGAAATGAACAGTGCCCAGTATGACCAGTCATGTGTGTGTGTGCGTGTCTTTGTGTGTGTGCACTTGTATGTTTAGCAATGCGACGGTGCCTCGGGGTGTAACGGCATCCTCCTGTCTGGACCGTCAGTCGCTTTTCGCCGTCTACACAGCGTCCCATTTGACCTTGCGTTGGCTACGACGCCGGCTGAATGCACATCTGACACACTCCCTTCCTTTGTGGTGCAATCCTGTGGAAGTCATTTCATTTACTGGGCTTTCAACTTCAGCCAGTGTGGGGGTCGAGGGGTGGGGTTGGTGGTGGCGGTGGTGGGGGGGTGAGTCTGTGTTTAATCAGCCTGCCACGAGTCCTTCCCCTTAAACAAAATCAACCATGATGTCCAGCGAAGAGATCTCTCAACAGAAGATTGAATTAAAACAAATAAATGGGCTTGTCACTTTTTCATCTTTTTATTTATCCCCTTGGCACAGCTGCATCCATCCACTCCACATTATTGCTGCAAATAACAACTGCACCGTGCAACCCAGAGGAAACTAAAAGTGGCTAAAAACTGAAGAAAATGTTTAATCACTTCTCATTATTGCAGCTTTTTTCTCTCGTATAACTGCGAGTGCAGAGGAGAATTGGGACACGGCCCACTGTCCTCGCCGTGACTTTGCATCTTGTCAACCACCTTTCGTTCCCCTCAAATCGTGTCTGTGCTGAAGAAGGGACATTGGCTCTGTCACACTGTGGTCTGTTAATCAGCCAACCTTGTTGCCTACCTCTTTCAGAAAATCTATGATCACACTGTTAGTGCAACCTTGTGCTGTCACCACCGGGCCCCGGCTGCACGGCCCGTCCACTCGCGTCGCTTCCTTTCGCCTCGTGCCGGGATTATTCAGCGGCCGAGGTGAGAGTCCACTGAGAATAGGCTGTAAAGTGTCAGTCATGGTTACCCGGAGTGGTGTTGTCTTAGACAATGTAACTAGGTGAAAGTGAGTGAAGGAGATAGGAAACCATCAATATGCTCCCTGTGTAAATTGAAGAAGGTCATGATTTATGGCTCCCGGCTACAGCGCACATACATGCTGAATCTACTATTTTTTCTCTCTCTCTCTCTCGCTCTCTCTCTCGCCTGGCTCAAGGACAGGTAAGGGTGCCTTTCTCTGCAGCTCATCCCCACCACCACGCAGTCTGTGGCACTCTGTGATGGACAGCCTCTGGAAGGGCCTCTGCTTTCAAAATGAATTTAACGCCATCTATAGGTAGTGACGGCACACAGAGAGTGCAGTAAGGAAGGGCTGAAATGATCACTCCACTACCTGTGATTCTCCACATCCACCTGCCTCTCCGGGTTTTTCCTCACCTCATCTGTCACGTCCGGTTTTCGGTCTCCTTTCGCTCGGGGGGTCTCAGACGGAGACGGGACAGCTGTGGGTTTTCTAAGGCCTCGCGACAGCTGCAAGCCCCGCCTGGCTCTGCATCTGTTCGAGGCTCGCAGCGTTGTGGCGTGTATCTCAACGAAAGCAACTTACAGTTCATAGAGGGGTTCTCTCTGGTCTCACCCTATTAACGATTGAGCAGATGGAAATTACATGTTAGGCCTGGAAACGGACCTGCAACCGTCCTGCTGTCTGGAGCGAGCCGCTTTAAAATGGGCCGATTCAAATAAGGCCACATGAGAGAAATCAGGTCTGGCCTGTAAATTCATTCGACGAAACAAAGCGAAGTCCTCTCTGAATCTTTATTATTTATTTGGATGATTTATTATGTCTGGGTGACTCTGACGTTGTTACTTTGCCTTTGGAGGGAGCCAGTCGTAACAAATGGAGCGCTCATTAGCATTTGACCTCCACATTATGCTTTGTTTACCTGCCTCTCCTCACCTCTATATCTCCTCAGACAAAATCAGGGCTCTCACGGAGAAAGAGCTCTCGGCGTGACACAGTTTTGTTGCTGGGCGGTAAAGGTAAGTACCGCATTTGCATTGCAAGATTTCTCAAACAACTTGAGCATGCAGAAACACAAGGAGGGGGGGAGAGACAAAAAAAAAAAAAAAAGATGCTCCACTCCCAGGGGACGTAGCCACTCCCAGACGCTGTCGTCTAGGCTCCGGAGTCCTGACAGCTGCTTTAAAATCCCAAGAGATGGTAGAAGGAAAGTATGAACAAAAGTTACAGTAGAGAGTCACCGGCACATCCTGTTGTGTGAAGGGAGAAGACTCTTTAGATTGGAGCTTTTGATTTTTAAGGGCTAGGTAATATCGTCATACAAACTGGTTTTTATTTGAAAAACAAAAAAAAAGTATGATTTCTAGCTTCGAAACACTTAGTTTAAAATCCTAAGATTAAAAAAAGGGATTTTGAGCAGTTTAAATGTGCCTGTGTAAAAAAAAAGAAGTATTTGATATAAGCTACAGATAACATCAAATATGAAGAAAGAATTAATTGAATGTAGCTGAAAAAAATAAAGGGAAAATGTCATTACAACTGCAATTATATGCTTTGCACAATATTAACATTTCCACGTTTCATAGGCGAGCAGGTCATGCATCCTGTATGTGTAAAGAGAATCATGAGCAACAAGTAATAGCACACTGGCAAACATCCACAAAAGCCGCTCACACACACACTAACATTATATCTTCAGGGCGGGAGGTGTGGCAGGTAGCTGTGTGTGCACGAGTTAATTGCGCAACGAGAAGCTGTTCCCTAATTTATTTTTCGCCTGTCCGTACAAGAGTGATCATGAAACCCCATTCATTTCACAGAACACAATTTTCATATTTAATGAGCATGACTCCAATACAATTACAGTAATTAGTCAAATCTCACTCACGGCCAATGGAGCTCGCCCGCCATTATTAGTGGATCTTATTAATGGCATCGCACATGTGGCGCTCGTAGGGTAATTGAGGGCATGTGTGGGTATGGGAACGGGGGTTCTGGGGATTTGAGAGCAGTGGTGGTGTCGGTGTGTTTTCTACCTACATTGGGCCTTATGTTAAATGGAGGTCTGCGTGATGTTTAACCAAAATGTCAGTCAGCGCTTCTGATTCGACAACAGCTTTAAATCGGATGAGTTAAATTCTACACAGATGAACCGCAGCGCATTTCATTCACTGACTTTGCAAAAGACGCATCAGTCGGCTGCTCTGTTAGATGACCTGAAAGCTTGCAAGCTGCTTTAAATAATCAGTCCGCAGCATCACCGCTGTGCACTGGGGGCCCAGGAGGATCACAACAAAAAAGACAAAGGGGGGAGGCTGGGGAAAGAAAGAAGGCCATTTGCCATGAGTGATGATACTGCAGTGTGTGACATTTTGGAGGTTTTGCAGCTTCTCTTTCCACACTGATCCTTATTAAACCTACAGCACAGAGGTGTGTTGTTCCTGCAACAAGATTATGCAGCACACCTGACACGTCTCCCCTGAAGTGGAGTTATTGTGTGCAACTTTTTCTTTGTGTTGGGAGGATTCTCTGAAGTGGACTCAGTGCTTTCAGAATTCTGACAGAAATCCACTTATTACATCTTGTTTATGACTTCAAAGCAACATGCAGCACTTTATTCTGAAAGTTATGTCTGATGTTGTTTCACATGCTTTGAACCAGGGGGCGTCAGGGCTGATGATTGTGAAGAAACAGTCATTTTAATCAAAGAAAAGTGACTCAGTGGCCTCTTATCCAGTTAAGGGCAGTGTCACCGCTGAGTTAATGAGTGTGACGCCATAACAGAAAAAAAGCTTGATTAACAAACATAATTAGTGGAACGTGGTGGAATTAGACGGTGCTTTGGTGCTTTTATAATTGAAGACTGGAAAAGACAACAATTAAAGCAGAGCTTAAAAACCCTGCAGCTCATTCAAGCCAGAGGACATGGATTGTTTTGGGGAGGCTCTGGAGACGGGGTGTGATGATGCTGTGTGAAGTTTGACTTACAGTTTGGAGACGAGTCAGGGAGGTCATGACAACAATGGATTCACAGACTCACACACAGCTACTGTTGGTTATAGAGAACTGAAGGACTGTAAATATCACAACATTATTTCTGGCTTGGATCTTGATGTTTTGGCACAGATTAATGTTCCATGTGGTGGTGAACTGCTGTCACCGTAACAGAAAACAGGATAAGTTGGTCTCTTTTATAACGACAGAATGTTCCCAGTTTAATTAACACTTTAGAGGAGTTGCATTTCTTATTTTATGATAATTGATTGATGGATTACCATTATATCAAATAAAGATTCATGGTCCCCTCAAGTTAAATTCTATACTAGGTCATCCATAAATGTCCCTCTTGCGTCATGATCAGGTAATATTTTCAATGTTCACTAATATGATTAACAATAATGCAAAACTAATGAAATTCCCATCAGCC